ATGGCCTTCAGAACAGCCAGCACCGCCGCTATCGGTATGGTCTTGTGTGCGCCCACCAGCAGATGACGATCGCAGCTAAGACGTATGCTAAAGTCGCTGCCCACAGCATGCAGCGGATTCGGCGATGTGCTGACCGAGTACATGCCCGGCTGTGGTATTTCCAGGGTCTTGAACAACTTCAGCACCAGATGACATGTGAGCCGTGCGCCCGCCTCCGCATCCACGCTCAGCTCACCGCCGCCGCTAACCGAACGCGCCAGCGTCGGCAGCGCAAATTTGCTAACGAAATCCGCCAACGAGAAGCAATGCCGCGCCACCAGAATGCACACGAAGACGGCCAGTGCATTGTGCGTTTTGCCCTGACCAATGTCCACCTGACCGCCGAGATGCGGATAGCGCGGGCTTTTGCTGCCGCTGCACAGGCTCTGCAATGCCGCAATCCACTCTTCGGAGAGCACATTGCAGCTGGCTGTTAGCTCTGCGCAGGCGAGCGCCACATCGTTTAGCCGCTCGTTGTCCGTCTCCCGGCAGACGGCAATTACGGCATTGGAAACAAAACTGTACACATTCGCTGGGGATTCATGGAGTTGGCGCAGCCAGTGCGACTCGAGCTTGCCGCCACGTCGCGGCGCCACAAACAGCTCCTGCAGCAGCTGTGGATTGTAGGCCTGGGGTGTTATGCTGTAAGAAAACACTTGTTAAATTTGTACAACTCGTTAATGCCCTCACCCACTCACCTGAGCTGCTCGGGCGTATTAAAGATATCCTTAAAACGCTTGATGCAGTTCAACTGTTGATAATATTCAGCTGCCTGCTCCTTGCCCTGCAGCAGTATGCAGGACTCGTGCAGATCGCTGAGGTAGGCGAGTATACAACGTTCCGCGGAGCTGCATTCGCTGGGATCGCTCACATGGCGTATGGTGCGACACAGTCCCTCAAAAACGGAGACCGTCTGCTCCGGCGACAGCAACAGGCAGCTGTGATACCGTCGCAGTATGCTGACGATGTAGAGGGCCAGGGAGGTGGTGTAGCCACGCACCATGTTGGACTTCTTTAGCTGCAGCTGGTGCTCCACCTCAGGCAGCTCCTTTAGCAAGTGATCGCACAGCTCGAGCAGACTGTAAATGTTGAGCGCCAGCTCCATTAAATCGAACAAAAAGGCCACATGCTCCTGCACGGGCAAATAGTTGTTGCTGCCCAAGGCAAAGCCGTTCAGCTGCTCCAGCACATTGGCCGCACACTGGGCGGTCACCACATGCTGATCGAAGTAGGCCATGTGCTGGCATTTGGCTGTGGTCGCCTCAAAGTTGAACTCATTGCGCGAATGTTTCTTCACCTTGCCGCCCTCCGCCACATCGATGCTGAATTTCTTGGTGAAGAGTTTGCCAATCTCTTTGGACATCTTCTTAACCGCATGCTTCTTTTCGTCGCGCTCCTTGCCCACACCAAAGAGCAGTATGTAGCGTTGATTGCTCTCGCTGCTGTAACTGGACATACTGGGATCATCCTGGGGTATGGGAAAGTGCTTCGTGTATACATAGTGCCTGGATATGCTGACGCCAGAGGCAGGCGTATCAACGCCGCCGTCACCATCACCGGGCGCACCAATCTTGGGACTGTCGGGCGCCTCGTGCTGTTGGCCCTTTTCCTTAATGTTCTGCACCAGTTTATCAAGATCGTCGTCCACATTGGAGTCATCGAACTCGTTGTGTTTGAAATCAATGCCAATGCCCGAGCCAAAGCCATCGTCGTCGAATCCGTGGCTTGCTGCGCTGCTATTGGGCGGCGGAGGCGCTGGTGGCGGTGGCGAACTTTTCGCTGTCGTCTTGTGCACCAGCATCGATTCCAGCAGCAGATCCCCACGCGATATCAACGTGTGCATGTACGCATTATGCGAGAAGACATCGTGCCGTATGAGCGCGCTGAAAAGCTGCACTAAATTGGTAAATTCTGTGCGTTGCTGGGCGCTGCTGTTGTGCTCATCCAGGACGGGAGCATCGTGGTCCAGAAAGTGCATTAGAACATGTTGAAAGACGGGAAGGCCATCGATTATGCCCGCACCAGATGCCAGCGAATCCTTGTCCTCCTTATCGCCGCATAGATCTGCTGGTGTGCTGGTCACATCGATTTGACGCTTGTCCAGCAATATGGCCACCACAATGGCCCGATGCTCGCCCCAACGCTGGCTAGACACCGCCCACTCGCAGAGTATGCGCACCGTGTCCGCATCCTGCTTGGGCTCATATGGAGCGCGCTGCTGTTGTTGCTGCTGCTGTGAATCCTCCTCGGGGCGGCGCAGTTGCGCTGGTTGTGGTGGAAATATGTGAGTGTAGAGCGTGTCAATTGAATTGCACTGATCCATGCGCTCAAAGCAGTGAGTGTCCAGATGATCCAACGTGGCCAGCACATTGGTGTAATGATTCTTTCCCGCGCTCAGCCACTTGGATGCGAACCAGCGCTGTTCCGCGTGCTGGGTACGCAACACAATATCCGCCTCGGCGGCACGCAATTGCTTGCGTAGCTCATGGTTGGTACGTGGACAACGTGAAGGCATTGGCAGCACCGAGGGCGCCAGCGGCAAATGATCAAGGGGACTTCCCACCAGGGATGAGGGGGCACGATGTGCAGCTATGCCGCTCCACACCAACGCCGTCGGGCACTCGATTGTAATCACCTGAAGAATGGTGCTCAAATATAGCACTATGTCACGATGATGCGGACAGTTCATATAGTCATGCAGCGCCTGCTCATATGGATCAATCGTTGGCTGTTGTTGCTGCTGCTGCTCCTCGGGCGCATCAAGCTCCATAGCCTGGGACTTGATTAGGGCCTGCTGTTGTTGTTGCTGCTGCTGCTGTTCAACGGCCGCATTGAGCAGTTGAGCCAGCTTTTTTGCCACCAGATTGGCCATTTTACGGCACAAACGCTCCGACTGCACAAAGTCGTGCATATACTGCAGCGCAAAGCTGAGAACCAGCTTCTTAAGCGGTTCATCAAAGCTGGTTTGCGTACGCATCTTATCCAGCAGATCCAGTATCCAGTTAAGAAACTCCTGGCGATCCAACAATGACTCCTCGTACATATACTTGCTCAACTGATGGCAATACTTCCAGTATTTCAACGCATTGCGACTATCCTCGAACTGACTGCCAATGCCCGATATGCTTGAGCCTGGCGGCACTGCACCTGCGTTTGCTCCCGTTGCGCTAACGACTGCTGAGCCGCCCAGCGTAGCCAGAGCTGTGCCCGGTGTTGCAGCAGCGCCGGCCACAGCGCCACCAGCTGCAGCACTGCCAACAGCACCTGGCTGGCCATTGGCTGGACTATGTATGGGCGGCAGCGGACTGGACATGCTGGGCACCGGTATCACATTAGGCGTGGCGTTGCCCACAGTGCTGGTATTGTTGCTGGTGTTATTGTTGTTGCCGCTGCTGTTGGCGCTGCCATTACTGTTGCTACTGGTGCTGCTAGCGGTGGATGAGCTGCTGCTGCCATTGGCTTGCATTCCATTCTTATCGTGCGCTGAGCAAGCATTACGAGAAGAAAAATTAGAGATGCCTTTTTTTTCGAAAATAAAAACATTCTTTTACTTACACTGCTGATAGTATTCTTGCAGCTTGGGCAACAGCTCCTTCATGAACTTGATCATATTACCTGTCCATTCGGCTGCCGGGTCATAGATGCTGCGCTTCTTGTTCTTCGACTCGGTAAAGCTGAGCGTATACGCTGCGCTTAGTTTTATAAACCAGGTGGCTCGCTGCATATTGACCTGGTTCTCGCACAGCGTTATAAATATTTCCTCTTTCTTGTTGAAGGAGGGTGCACGTTTGGCCAGACTAAGCAGTGGCTTGTTGCCGGCCAAGTCCTTGAACCAAGCATCCACTGTACATTTGCGACGCGGCGATACCGGCCAAAAGTTGTCTTTACAATTAATTTGCTGCTTTTTTCGCACGGTATCCTGCAACGTCATCAGCTCCTCTTTTTTGGCCAGAACGCCGCTAAAGAACGCGCTCACCTTGCTAGCGTTTACATTTGATGTGTGCGCCGTGCCAAATTCATCAGAAAGCGGCGGCGTCGTTGTAAAGCCATGTTTCACATTTGTGGGCGTCAGTTCGTCCTCGCGCTGCTTGGCGTCTTGCGGATATATATCCGGCGGCCCCAGGCGTGTACGCTTCAGCGGCCGCTTCTCCTGCAGCAACGAGAGCATCGTTGCAGCCTTTCAAATGTGTTTTTACACAATTATTTTGCAAATTTCTTTGCAATTTTCACTATGGTCAGACACAACAAACAACACGAAAACAAAAATACATATCGATATCGGCAATCGATAACATTGTTCCATTTACTCTTTACAACACTTAAAATCATAGAGATGAGCGAAATACAATTTTAATCGTGTTATAAATAAAGAAATAATTTATGTGCTGACTGCCGGTGATCAAACATGAATGAATGCATGTGTGTGTATGTATATGTATGTTTGTATGCATGTATGTATAGATATTTTGATATGTCCATATGCATGCACGCATACATGAATGTTGTCTTTTACTTGCCGCTGCGCTGCAAAATCAAAAAATAACGTTTTTAAATTAAGCCCTCCTCCGCGATTCTCACGAATTCAAGTAGGACTTGTAGGTTTTAGTGCTTTGGTGGTAAGTGAAGTATATAATTTTGTTGGTTGTATGCATGCATAAATCTTATAATATATGTATGTATACAAGTATGTACATAGTACGTACGTGTGAATATACATATGTATATATGTACATATGAATGTATGTTTATACATATGTATGGATTTATGTACATATGAGTGTATGTATGTACATATTTGTGCACATGTGTATGTATGTATGTACCTATGCATTTATGTATGTACATATGTATGTACTAATTACTTACGTATATATAAAAATACATATATGTGCATGCGTATAGCGACCAATATCCGATAATCACATATCTAATTTTGGGAACCCGCAATATTTACAAAAGAGTTCTTTTGATTAAGACGATTACAAAATGTATTCAATATATTTAAAAAGTAAGCCTCAATATTTAGAATAAAATACTAGCACTTAGTGTAATATAACAGAATGGAAAATATTTTAAATACTCTTATAAAAATCTGAGTATATAATTTGGTATACAAACAGCATATTGTATGCCCTTATGCGAATATGCATAATGATGTGTATAAACTTTTTTGAGTCCTCGAACTTCCACTGCTTACCGATCGAATTCGGGCTCATCATTATAAAAATGTTCAGTGGAATGCATGCCTTGGCTGCACTCAAAGTGTAGGATCAGCAACTGGGAGGCAAAGTCGGCTGGTAGCTAAAATATATTCACGTTTAATCAGAATGCTACTCGCTTTAATGCAATGTCAGCTACTCACTCTGTCTATTATATCGTGCCTGATATCGGTGGCCGCCGCGTACATTATCAACGGTTGATGAGTACGTCGCTTGGCTAATATGTCGAGCAAGTCCACAATGAAGGCATCAGTTATGCCCAGGCAATAGCAGATGTTCAGATAGCGCAGCTGTTCATTATTACGAATTAGTTTAAGGAGCTCCGATTCGCCAATGTCTCGGGCACATTGCAGTGAGAGACACTCCAGCTGAGTCAGATTCGCTAGATGATAGACGCAGCGATCGTTGCGTGGCTTGCACACAAGCCATTTCAGGGTTTTGATGGCGCCAATGCGTTCCGCCTGTTCCTCGTCGATCCATTGCTTGCGATGCAGTATTAGAAATTCCAAATTCGAAGCGCACTGGCTACTTAAAGTTTTGAACAAACGAGTTTTCTGATTATCTGGACAATAAACATGAAGATATCGCAAGTTTGGAAACATCGACAAGGCTGTAAGGTCTGCGTCGCTGTCCTGAAAGCAGAGCTTCTCTATCTGGCGACAATTGATAGCCAATTGCTTTAGCGTGTTCGTGGTCAGAAATTTCTTGGCATTGCGCAGCTGCAGTATGCGCAGGCTCCTTAGGGATTTAGTAATAGCAATGAAGTCAGAAGCCGTCACCTCGTCGTACATTTGCAGTTCCTGTAAGTTGGTAAAGTGTCGCAGCTCTTGTACTACCGTGAAAACAACAAACATTAAAGCTTAAGTAAATAAATAACTTTAACTCTACGTACATTCCCGCCGTTCGAAACATTCCAAGCCCAGATATTGTATGTTGGGCAAGCGCAGCTTCATGCATTTGATCAGATCTGTACTGGTGCATTTGTAATTACGCACATACACCTTCCTTAGCGTGGTCAGTTGTAGCAGAAAGGGCTGCGCCTTGGACACTGTCGCGTTGCGCAGCGTGATGCTCTCCAAGCGGATGCAAAATCTGGAGACAAGGGGCAGCACCTGCAGCGGATGGTCGTCGTCACGGTAGCAGGTTAACCTTTTGACATTGGAACCGCACATCCATAAAAAGGCGCGCCAATTGTCCAAATTTCGTAGCTTAATGTCGCTGTCAACTATTTCTTCAAATCGCTTGCGATGCAGGTAAGCGAATGCATCGCGAAATCGGCGACAGCAAAGTGCCAAATTGACCTGGTCCTCTAAATTGTGCAGCAACTTGAATATCAACAGCAAGCATTGAAAATTGAGGTCCGAGAAGTCGGTTGTGCGCGCCATGGTGGTTTATGTAGCGCCTCAATTGTAAGAAACAAAAACATATTTTGCAACAAAGGTAATTAACTATCAGCTGATTGGTAAACCTATCGATATTTCCTTATATCGATTTTGTTAAAAGAGTGGCTGCATTTCGCATATGCCCAAATACTGAACTTCTTATCACAGAATGAGCTCATGCTATTCGATTAAAACGCATTCGATTAATTGCAAGCATATCAACCCTACGCACAATAAGAAAGAACGACGATAACGAAACACGAAAGAGAGGTAGCAATTTAATAAATTACAAAGGAAAAACGGCAATAAAATACTTCAAGCTGTGTGTCTGCTTTAAGCAAGTGCATAACTCGTGCAAGGACACTAAACTCCACGACACGCATACAGACACAAACACACACCAGCAGCAGCAGCAACACACACACACAGTTTAGATGATGAGCAGCAGAACGGACACGGATGGCTCCTCCATACGTTTCAGCGATCACACACTGGACAAAGCCACCAAGGCCAAGGTGACGTTGGAAAATTATTACAGCAATTTGGTGACACAATACGGTGAGCGCAAACAGCGCCAGGCCAAATTAGAAGCGCAGCTGAAGGACGAGAGTCTAACAGAGACACAGCGCCAGGAGAAACGTTTACAGCATGCGCAAAAGGAGACGGAATATTTGCGCCTCAAGCGATTGCGATTGGGTGTCGAGGACTTTGAGGCATTGAAAGTCATCGGACGTGGTGCCTTTGGCGAGGTGCGTTTAGTGCAAAAGAAGGACACGGGACATGTGTACGCCATGAAGGTGCTGCGCAAAGCGGACATGCTCGAAAAGGAGCAGGTGGCACACGTACGCGCTGAGCGCGATGTTCTCGTCGAGGCGGATCACCAATGGGTGGTCAAGATGTACTACAGTTTTCAGGTGAGTGCAAATCCCACACACATCACCCACGGTTCGCAATTGCAGCTGAAAATCAATAAACCAATACAAGCACAAAAGTGCTTGCCAAATCATATGGTCTGCGTCTTTGTGTTGTTGTTGTGGTTGTTTGTTATCGTTGTTGTTGTTTTGATTTGTTCTTGGTGAAAGTTTTCACATACACATTTACACACACGCACACACACACACATATATGCATGTAAGTTTGTTTCTATGTGAATACTTATAAGAACATCGCAGCATGCAAAACGTGCAGAAATCAACATTATTTCTCAGTTTCGTAATTATTTCACTTTCTTTATGAACGTTTTACAAATTCAGGTCACAGCGTTTGTTTATTTATTTTGTATTCGTTTACATTTGGATGACATTTACGAAAATAGGCATGCAAAAGCATGAACAAGATAGGGAAGTATGCGTGGCAGTGATTTTTTTTTATTAAAAGGTATTGAATTAACTTGGCTTTTATACTTTATTTTACATATGTATTTCACTAGATACAAGTTTTACAGATTAAAATAACATTAATGTGAAGGGCTTCTATAACCAGCATAGTTTTTGTTTTTATCTCAAGTCTTGGAATCTGCATGGGTTTTGTAATAGTGCGGGTAGTCTTTAATCTTTCCTAAGTCAATTAAATTATCTGCTAAGTTGTTCTTAGCCTTATGTCTTGTGAAAAACAACTCCTAAAACTGTTAATTGTTAACAAATTTTCCTGCTTCTAAACGTAATACAGGACCAGGTCAATTTATATTTAATAATGGAATTCTTGCCTGGCGGTGATATGATGACGCTCCTAATGAAGAAGGATACGCTATCCGAGGAGGGCACACAATTCTACATAAGTGAAACGGCGTTAGCGATTGATTCAATCCACAAGCTCGGTTTCATACACAGGGACATAAAGCCAGATAACTTGCTGCTAGATGCGCGAGGGCATCTAAAGGTAAATGAGGAGAGCCTCCTACAATTAAATATGCAAATTAGTAACGATGCCTATTCCTATGCTTATATTATTATAGCTTTCTGATTTCGGGCTGTGCACAGGCTTAAAAAAGTCACATCGCACGGACTTTTATCGTGATTTGTCGCAGGCAAAACCATCCGATTTTATTGGCACCTGTGCCAGGTGAGCAACAATTATCAAGCAAACTAACGAACTGAAATTCACATCAATTGTTCATTGTTTGAGCAGTCCCATGGACTCGAAGCGGCGTGCAGAGTCCTGGAAACGAAATCGACGCGCTCTTGCCTACAGCACAGTCGGCACGCCAGATTATATAGCACCCGAAGTATTCCTGCAAACCGGCTATGGACCAGCGTGCGATTGGTGGTCACTGGGCGTTATTATGTATGAAATGTTAATGGGATATCCGCCATTCTGTTCGGACAATCCGCAGGACACGTACCGCAAGGTGATGAACTGGCGGGAAACATTAATATTCCCGCCTGAAATACCCATATCGGAGGAGGCCAAAGAGACGATTATCAATTTCTGTTGCGAGGCCGATCGACGTTTGGGATCACAGCGTGGCCTGGAGGACCTGAAGTCAGTGCCGTTCTTTCGTGGCGTCGATTGGGAACACATTCGTGAGAGGCCAGCAGCAATACCCGTGGAAGTGCGCTCCATTGACGATACGTCCAATTTCGACGAATTTCCGGATGTCTCGCTGGAGATACGTAAGTGCAATCCCATTAAGTATAATTGGAATTTATTAAAACTCAAAACTATTTATTATGTTATACAGCATCGGCGCCTGTGCCGCAGGGCGGCGAAATTGCCAAGGATTGGGTCTTCATCAATTACACGTACAAGCGCTTTGAAGTGCGAAATTTGGAGTGAAGCTGCGCAGCTTGCCGGTTGCCACACTTTGCCACCATTATCACCACCAACACTAACACCACTCCTCACAACACCTCCAGCAACAGCAGAAATCACAATTGCAATCGCAGTCTCTCTAACACCGTCATCAAAAGCATTCTCAAACGCTATAAAACTTAATTTTTTCTTTGAATGTCTTACCTACATGTGTATTCAAATACTATAGCTAACATTTGTGATTCCAAAAAAGAAACAAAAAACAAAACAAAAAACAGAACAAACAGCAAGAAAAGTGAAAAATATGTATGTATTGTATTGTAAATGTTTTGCGCCTAAAATTAAGTTAAACGCTTAAACTAACTAATTCTTCACTGTGTATGGCTTTGTTTAACTCCACTCTACGCCCCTTTGAAATCGTTGTGTTAAGAAATATGGCACTTGAATAACCAATTTGGCAATTGTTTATAATTATATATATTTGTTTTCCTTCATTGGGCAGCAGCGAAATTTGTTGATAAATTTCATAAATGTATGTACGTATATCCAAAATATTATTATTTAGACAATTGTGAAATGTTTTATATTTAGGCACGTTATTTAATATACTTACATATGTATATGTTTTGTATTTATTAATTATGAAACTCAACACACACACATATTGTATGTACCAACCACACAAATTAGTTACTAAACTAGCCACATCAGCAGCAAGAACAGCAATTTAAATATCGGTTTCGTTCAGTGTACACAATCCTCACCCACACCCACAGCCACACACACACACACACACACACAGAATCTTCCTACAACCCTGAATATTCTTGTAGTTATTTCTTACAGTTTTTTGAAGTTTTGTGTGTTTTCGAACAAAAGTTATCGCTGGTAAAACGCAAGAAAATTAAATCGAATTATATACTACAGCTAAAAAAAAAAAACACGAAATAAAAAAAAAAAAAGAAAAATCTACCCGAGCAAAACTTAAAGTAATTAAAGCATACCTATAAATAAATGAAACGAGTAAAAAAAGTTTTAAGAAATTATTTTTGGTAATAGACTATAATAATAAGCATATTGATAATATGTAAAGCAAAATGCAATAATAAATGAAACATGTGCATAATATTGACTAACAACTAAATTACTTTCAAGTATTTTTGGATGACGCGCATAAAGGACATTTTTATAACGATTATTGAAACCGTTCCTTAGAGGTAAATATATATTGACAATGATAGTTAAATATGTATGTATATATATTTACAGTTTTCAGCGATTTATACTTTTCTTATAAAAATCGAATAATTTTTTTCACATGAAGGTTGTAAGTAATTAAAAATGCACTTTGCTGAGCATAGATCATCTCCATTGCATATTTGATCTGCTTTAAGAGAGTACATCAAAAGGGTAAGAGAGCTGCCAGAGTCAATTAAAAAGGAGATGCCAGAGAGTGCATCGACAGAAAGAGATGCCAGAGTACGACTGAGTGAGATGCCAGAGAATGTGCGATTGAAAGCGATGCCACAGGGTCAAATCTGCGCAGTCAAAGGAATTTTAATTTCATCATAGAACGAGCGCATTGTGAACAGTGTCCAAAGTTGCTTCGCAAGCCATCAGAGTGAATTACCAGAAGTACAAGCAAGAAAATAAAGTGAGATAATATTCAAAAAAGATAAAGTGTCAATACAATAAGTCAACTGAAATGCGAACGACTAATCAGTATTTAAAGTGAAATTAGGATAAAGATTGCTTTGATTATACGGTAAAACAGTTAAAATTATTCAAACGGAAACTTAAGCCCACTCAACTAATGCATTGACGTTTTCTGCGTACGTTCCGAAAAGTATGCTATGCTATACTTGAAGAATATTGGCCAACAAGGAAATCCTGTAACAGCTACCAAATATTTTACATATATTTTTGATACACTGAAGTACTTACCTAAAGGTATATTTTCATATTTTATATGCAAAAAAAACTAAAAAAAAAAAACAAAGAAACACAAAGAATACGACAACAAGTAAGCGTTGTACATTTAAATGTATGTATATATTTTTCTTTTCGTTCATCGCACTCTCTTTCTGCTTGTTCTGTTCTTGTAATTGTGTTTGTATTTGTTTTTAGAAAAAAACGTTACAGACATCTGAAAACAAAGATTTCAAATTCGCTAAGAATTGGTTTCGAATTATCAACGGACTCTAACTGATCTGTAATATCTATTAGAAATTGGTTGAGTTGCAATTGGTTGTGCTCGTGTGTGTGTGTGTGTGTGTGTGTCCGCTGTGACTGTGTGAACCGGAATATATAGCTAGTTTAAAGATATTTATATATATATAATATATATACTACATACATAAGTATATATGAATGTGTTTGCATATGGACTACGTACTACTTGAAATGGTTACAGCTTCTTACGAGGGGGGAGGAGTGGACGTATGTGGGGGCAAGAATCTTTACAATGGAACGTGGGAGAAAGTACCCCAACGACACGGAAACTTACACACATCTATGTAATTTGTTAATAATTAAATGTTTTTGCAATTAAATGTTTGTGATTTGTTTAGTTTTCTTCACATCTTTCGTTTTTATTTGTTTATTTTTATTTTTTTTTGTTTGAAATCTTTATTGGATGCTTGTAACGACGGGCAGTAGATCCATAAAATTATAATCGTAAAATGTTAAAAGTTTAACTATGTGCTTAGTGTCTAATGAAAAATGTATACATAGACGAATATGTATTGTATTTCTGCTTATTTTTCGCGTTTGGTTTTGTTTTTATTTTATTTTTTTTTTTACTTTTACTTTTGTTTCATGCAAAAATTTGTCAAGCAGAAAAAAGTATGATGGGGGGGGGAGTTGTTTCGGATTGGGGGGACATTGTTAGTTATGCTATGCGCTTTGCAACTATTTATAAATTTAATTTAAATTGAATTACACGTTAAAGTTATCGGATTTTGTTGCATTCTATCAAATCGCAGCTATACTTTTCCATTTACGCTATGCCAAGAAGCCCGTTTTGGACGCTTGCTTTGATTTACGCTTGCTACAAAACTTCTGATTATTATTTTTTGTTTTTGTTTTCTACGGTCGATAGTAAAATGTATATATAAATATATATACATATATATTTATATAGTTATATGTACTTTTAAGAATTACATTATAATAGGACATAAGTCTAATGGGAGGGCTTGCTAAGGAGTTGGACACATGGGTATTGTGTACTGGTTGGAACAGGGAATTGGTTTATCTGATTGGGATAAGGGGGCCTTGCGTAATCATATATTTAATTATTAGTAAAATTTGTATGTACAATTCGTTACGTTGCTTAGGACTGATCATCGATCAATAACATGACCTGTTGCGTTGTCGTTTGTGGATTCCTTGCGCACTCCACCTGATGAGCATTCCAATCCTTGCGCTGGCAAAATTCCGAACAATACGGCGTCTTTCGACACAGCGAGCACTCGGCCAGCGCCTCCCGATTGCAGTTGGCGCACTGCAAACAATTCGAATGAGAACAAATTTAGTTTTTGAATATTTAATATGGTATCCAGTATGTGCTTACCTTCTTTGCCGATATGATCTCGTTGCCATGTAATGAGCCCGATATATTGGGATCATCAATGTCTGTATGGACCTGGACACGCATCGCGGATACCGCCGCATCGCGTTCCTTTTGCAGAACCTCGATGCGTCGCTCGTAGTTCTGCTTCATATCGTTGAGCAGGCGTTTAAAATCGTTGGTTGCCTTCACCATGGTGCAGTAAACGTGTTCGATGTTCTTCATCGATTGACTGCTATCCAGCACGGCAATGGAGCCCGTATCGTTGATGTTAACCACAAACGTTTCGCGCTCGTACGGATTGCCCATTTGCGTTTGGTCAACCAGCTCGGTGGAGGTGTCTAAACTGTCATTGAGCGCCGCCCACGGTTCATCCTTGGACGTAATGTTGTCTTCGGCTAAAAACATGTTATTATCGTCGACAACATTGGTGGCGGTTGCTTGCGTTGGGTCCACGTTATTGTTGTTGTTATTGATGCTGCTTCCGCTTGTGTTGTTGTTGTTAGTGTTGCTATTATTGTTGTTATTATTATTGTTGCTATGTGTATTGCGTTTGCGTTTGGGCCCAGGTTCCACATCGAGATCGGTTTGATTTCGCTTTCGTCGCTTATACGGCGTGAATAGACGCACAGGACCGGAGGCTAAAAAACAAGTTTTCTGGTATTAATATAATTGTTTGTTGTGCTGGCACAGATAAGAAAACTGTCCCAAAAAATGATGTAAATGTGATCAAAGGTCAACTCTAAGATTTGGATCTATTTAAATATATCACCGATTCACTTTTAACTTAATTTATTACAAATTGGGTAGACCTTAAAATTTCTAAGAAATGTTTGGTATTTAACGATATCGAATTGTCTACTTAGGTGAAGTCAGATTGAACCATGATTAAAGCTAGTCAGAGTTAAAACAAACTACAATTTCTAGAAATGCCTTTTTGAAATTTGTATTGAATATAGAACAAAATATATATTTGAAATTTAATCGTTTCTTGTTGCCGATTTTATATGGGTTTCTTCAAATACAAATAGATCCTCAATAATAAGAATAATGAATCGCCTCAATTCTTGTTCGAAACTAGTTAAAAGTTCCTTATTCTGATTCTGACTTGAAACTCATTTTTTTCTTGCCAAACAAAATACATATTAGGAAGTTGAAGGCAAATAGCCTTTGTTTTGGGTAAATACAAAATTTCAGAAGAATTTTAGTACTAGACAATTACTGATGGCATTTGAAATTTCTTTTGGACTATAGAAATGTTTATTAAAAAAAAAAAAAGAGTGGGTGTGTTTTCTGTTTTGTTTTGTTTGATAGTATGCATCTCTCACCTGACTCACCTGCTTCGTCGTCACAGCAGACTGTGCAACTGCAGTTGGTTGCGTGCGGCGTAAGCGTGCCCTCATCGATGAGGGACTGCAACGATTTGCCACCATATTTGATAGAGCGTTTCCAATCCTTGCTGGAGCCGCGACCGCACACGTGCTCAAATTCGCTGGGCGTGTGCCATTTGTCTTTATATTTGACACAACGCCCTCGGCCACCGGAACCCAGTTTGCTGCGATATAGTTCGGCGGAGGTGGTTTTACAGCGTATCTGGAAGACCTCCATGTGCTGTGTACTAGATGTTGTTTCCGCCCAGCCTGTGGAGCCCGTTGTGTTGCCGCCACCACCGCCGCCAGCAGCATGCTCGAGTGTCCCGATGCTGTCATGGCTATTATTGCTACCAGAGCCATCGTGATTCAGTCCAATGGTGTTTGTGGCGGTGGTGTTTGTGTTGCCAGCGCCGCTATTGACGCTCGTCTGTGTCTGCTGCTGTTGCTGCTGCTGCTGCTGTATGACAATCGTTTTGAGGTCGCTGCCCATGCTGACCGTGCTGCTGGACAGGTAGCCATTGTTGTCGACGCACAGCATCGGCTTGAAGTGCGGCAGCTGATCGGGCGTAATCACATTAAAGGCCGTCCCAGTTATCATTGAGCCGATGGGCAGTGATACGGGCACTGATACAACGCCGCCACCGCCATTTGCACCGCCGCCGCCGCCGACACCGCCGCTGCCGCTGTTGTCGTTTGAGGAGGATGTGACCATGCGAACTTTCGTATCCAACTGCATTACCATAGCGCACATTACAGAGTCACAGAGTTACAGCGTTGCGATGCGTTGCGTTGTTGTTTGTTTGTTTGTTTGATTTGCCGTCACACGAACATTTACGACAATTGTTAGTTTTAATTTATTTTGTATTTAAATTTTAGTTTGTATTTTATTATTAATTTTACATGGAAGAAATCAAAGAAAATTTCGTTTGTGTAAGTAAACAACACAGCATGGAAAAATGAAAATCGGTATACACAACAATTTGCGCCACACACAAATTCTGACGTTGCTGGAGTTGGCTGTGGTGGTGGTGGTGGTGGCGGGCTCTTGCTCTGGCTCTGGCTCTGGCTCTGAGACTCTAACTGTCACTGTGGGCTGTGTAGGGCGCAAGCACCGCGCGCATTTTTGTTGCGCCGCCTCCGCCTCCCCCTTTCATAAACCCAACAGCACGCCGCCGCCGCCCCCCCTTCCATTCACACACCACTTGTTCTATAGAGAGGCACACATACATACACTTGCACATCCCCACTTAAACACACACACACACACACATGCACAAGTAGGCAGCGCGTTCTACAACTGCGCGTTGGCTGCGCGGGCATCCAACGAAAACGAATGAACGAACATACGAAGGAACCAACTGGCGAACGAACCAACGAACCACCCTTGCCGCCAACGCCAGTCAGAGTAAGTTTTTGTGTGTTGATTTACCTGATGATGATGGTGATTCTCTAATGTGACCTCTTCTTTCACAACATCGCGCACGTCGTCGTTTAATGCGGCCAAATCTTTCACTTCACGTATTCTGCTCAAATGCAGTTCAGTTGAGGAATCCTGTTCCATTCTGCACCACAACAACACGACACAACAAATTCACTCTTCTTCTTCTGCTTCTGTTGGTTTCCTTTTTCTGTTTGTTGGATATGAATGTGAAGTTGTTCATCGAATTGTTGCAATTGCAATTGGGCTACGGCTACGACGTCTGTTGTCGTTACTGTTGTTGTTGTTGTTGCTGTTTTGGTTATTGTTGCGTTTACAATTGATTTGCGCGCACACCATTCACACTGAACTTGTGTTGTGCACGTTGCCTTTGGCTATTTACAGTTATTTTATATGTTGCAATTTACATTTTTACATTTCTTAAAAGTTGATATCCGTAGCGATATAAGAAACACAACGATGTATCGATATAATCGATATATATTTTTTACCGCATTCGATTTATATTCGATGAGGGCATTTATTTAGTATATCGAACAAATAAATAAAAAACATATATTTTACATTACATGTACTAAAATTAAAGCCATTATTTTTTTATGCAGATACTATCCGCCGGTTTTTAATCAGATATTTTTATTTATTTAAAATCGACTAACTGGGCATGCGCATTGTATCATTAATTAATCGAATAGTTCGGCTTGGCTGCGACTTTTCAGTTACAAGTTTCACTAAAAAATACTTCTAATAAACGATTCATGCTCATATTCTCTGTAATTCGTCTACGACAAAAATTGTAAATATGATTGGAAATATACCATAACCTAAAATAAGGAATAAAAGAAATTCCGTTTAAATTTTATGTGTAGTGGTTACAATTAAAAAAACAATAATGTTTAATTTCAACATGTGTTGCTTTAGGATCTGAAAAATAAAATAAAATCTGAAACCGCGACAAAAGCGGTATAAAATAATGAACCAATCAGTTACTTTGTTCGCTCATTCTGTTCAGTCCGTCGGTCTATCGAACTTGTTGAAAGCAATTCGATAAGACTCTGATAATAATAACAAAAATGGTAAATTTAATGTTATTAAGTTAATTAATGGATATCAATGTATTTGACATTGTTTTCCTTAGGCGGATGTTGACGTTTTTATAAGCAACTACACCCTTGTGGATCCAGAAATTTACCAACTATGGATCGAAGGATTTTCTTGTATGTCGTTCATTAATGCTTTTATTTTTGTTAAAAGTGTTTTTTGAAACATTCTTTCCAAAGCCAGCGAAGCGGTGTGCTACTTGAAGCAGAAAGGATTTGGTCATTCAATGGGTGCGCCAATTGACTTGATTGCTTCCGATGTGTTGGACCATTATCGAACCTATTCGCTGATTGAAACTTATTTGCATGCGCCCACAAAATTGATGGAACAATCCTGTTTCCAATTGGAGCATCATACGCGAGACCTAATCATTGAGAAATACTATTCGATCGATGATGTTGTGGCACGCGAAATCTTGGGAAAGAAGTTGAGTTCACGCTATCGCAAGGATCTGGACGAAGTGGGCGAAAAAACGTGTGTTAAGCTTAAGTCGTGTCGGTACGTAATATGTGATTGGATATAAGTATGGATCTGAATATTATTCACCTATTTGTCTTCGAGCAGACGTCAATTTGACAACGTGAAACGCATTTTCCGGGCTGTTGAGGAGCTACCCGGAACGTTGACCAATAATATTATGCAGCATTTCTTTATATCGAACGAACTGGCCAAGTAAGCTAATTATATAGATAAGTAACAATTAAACTTGACAAACATTTATTTCAGGAAATATGCCTGCATAGTATTTCTGGCTTGCTTGCGCTTCGAAACGTCCAAAAAGAAATTGCAATATTTGACCTTTAGCGATTTGCTCACTTGTTCACACGCCATCATGATTTACTGGACATACACTTACCAGGTAGCCATTGCGTCCAAAATAATGAACGCCTAATAAGTTTGATATCTTATTAGCACACCGGACCCGAGTACTATGACACTGAAATGGATAAGGAATTTCTGCTAGATTTACGTGAACTACGCTGTTTGCTGGACAAGGAAAAGGAAATTAAACAGTATGTCTTCTTAATGTTATATTTGCTTATCTTGTTAACTGATTTGTATATATTGCAGTCTTGTCTGTTTGCGGCTAAAGCCTGTTTTTCTGGAGCGAGTCTTTCACGAGCTGGATGGTAATTTCCGTTCTTACTGGCGTGCGCTTATTACCATTGCGTGTAATCTGCATCGAAATCGTGAGCTGCGAGATCTATTTGTCGATCTATGCGAGAGGCTGGTAGATCCTTGGCGTCAAAACGGCTGGAATCGCGAGCAGGTTAACAAATTTATGTCTTCAATAACACAGAGCGTTCTGGATTTGGAAATATCTAGGTGAGTTGATCTTGTTTTATGTACATTTTTGCCAAACTAAAGTATTTGTTCTACAGGGACCAAGAAACGCGTTGTCTTTGGGATCGCTATATGCAGGTTATAACTATATGTTTAGACAAAATGTATCATATTTAATTTTTGAATTGTGTTTTGTTTTAAATATGTTGTATATTTTATAAAATTAAATTTAAAAAGAACCTTTTTATAACAAATAAAATTAAAAATTCATAAATTGTGAGCACAATAGCTTTGCATTGCAAATGCAACGAGCTTTCTATGCAGCGACGTTGCGAGTTGCCAGACAGACAGAAAAGCTTAAGTCTGAGCAAAAGCTTGCATTTGGCAAACTGCAGATACTTCCCAATTGTCGTGTTCGTGCTGCGATTTGGTTCTGTTGATGGTTCTTACAACTGTTTGTAAACAATAATTCTTACCAACTTAAATCGTTTTTAATATCTTAACAACATTGCCGTACATTAAGGCCAAAGCCGTTTGCGAAGTTTTCTACGCAAAACGATGCAAGATATGTGAGTTCTATTGCTTGCGCATTGCAAATTATACATTTCCTACGTATTCATAAGTGTGCGTGTATAATTCCCTGTATGTCACAGATACACTCACGCGCACACACATTCAAATTCAGTGGGTTTACGTGTGTTGTTGGGACAGGGGATGTAAGTAGCCCGAGCAACAGTTGCCTCATTATTTTCGGCTTAATGGGGTGGATGTTTTTTTTTTTTTTATATATATTGATGGTTTCGACAGGTATTTTTATTATTGCTGTTTAATAATGTTTGATTATTATTAGCATACCTGAGAGTACAACAATATCAAATATAAAGTCCATCTTACAGTGAAAACCGTAATGAACTGGATGATGACCCATTTGATGAGGAAAAGTCGATGCGCACAGATGAAAATCGAAAGTATGAAATCGCTATCTGTATATACACAACTATAAATAAAAACATAACATTTTTGTAGGCAAAATCACAGTGAAATTGAGAAAAGGCGTCGCGATAAGATGAACACCTACATTAACGAACTGTCCTCAATGATACCAATGTGCTATGCGATGCAGCGCAAGTTGGACAAACTAACAGTGTTACGTATGGCTGTGCAGCATTTGCGGGGTATACGCGGCGGCCTACATCCCTATAATGGGGCTAGCTATACGCCAAGTTTTCTGTCTGAGCAGGAGCTTAAGATGATCATATTGCAAGCCTCAGAGGGCTTTCTATTTGTTGTCGGTTGTGATCGCGGACGCATTTTGTATGTGTCGGAATCTGTGTCGAGCGTCTTAAATTGCACTCCAGCCGATCTGCTAGGCCAGAACTGGTTCGATGTGCTTCATCCCAAGGATATAAGCAAGGTCAAGGAGCAGCTGTCCTCACTGGAGCAGTGTCCCAGGGAGCGACTTATCGATGCCAAAAGTGAATATCCAGCGAAACTACCAAATGAATTGATTACTAAACCATTTTTCAAATCACTTTCACGCAGCCATGTTGCCCGTCAAGACGGATGTGCCGCAGAGCTTGTGCCGCCTTTGTCCGGGCGGGCGTCGTTCCTTTTTCTGTCGAATGAAACTGCGTGCCGCAAACGATCAAATTAAGGAGGAGTCGGACACATCTTCGAGTTCACGCAGCTCCACAAAACGCAAATCGAAGCTAAGCATGGACCACAAATATCAGGGAATACAGTGCACTGGCTATCTGAAATCGTGGATGCCGATCAAGGACGAGGATCAGGATGGCGATAGTGATGATCAAACAACGAATCTCGCCTGCCTCGTGGCCATTGGACGGATCCCAACCAACGTGCTCAAGACGAGCATGCCAACCTCGCTGGACAACAATCCGAATATCCGGCATGTGCTCTTCATATCACGCCACTCTGTGGAAGGCAAGTTCCTATTTATTGATCAACGGTAGGTCATAGCAATTGCAATACATTCACATTTTACATATGTATTTGGTTTTTGGTGTTTTAGTGCTACGCTGGTGATTGGGTATCTGCCCCAAGAAATACTGGGCACCAGCTTTTACGAGTATTTCCACAACGAGGACATTTCTGCTCTGGTCGAATCCCATAAAATGGTTATGCAACTCCACGAGATTGTCACCACGCAGATTTATCGCTTTCGCTGCAAGGACAATGGCTACGTACAGCTCCAGAGCGAATGGCGCGCCTTCAAGAATCCATGGACAAATGACATTGACTACATAATTGCTAAGAACTCCGTATTCCTCTAGAGAATAGTCACGCAAAGGAAACCTTTTAATGAAATCGATTCCAAAACACCTTTAGTTCTGAAGAGGTTCTTAAACTATAAATATCCGATTTTATATTGTATTGATTTATTTGATATTTACATCAATTTTCACAATGTCAATATAAATGTGTACATTTACATATAGCTTTGATTTTATTTCTTAAGCATTTAAATGAAGTATCTAAAGTTGTTGTTGATCAGATGTCCCTATATATTAATTGATATTTCTAAATACAACATTTTGTATACATTACAAAGAATACTTTAATTGTCAATGGTTGAATTTTGTAGACTTTGAACAACCGCTTTAAGTAATTACTAAGAGAACGTAATTCAGAGGCTCTCTTTATATAAAAGAGTGTTTATATTGAATAACTGTAGTTATCAAATAGTTCTTGCTGTGTTTGCCTTTATCAACATTTTGTACGATCAATGGGCCCACATTCACACGTAGCCGGCGCCAACGCCAGTTCTGCGTGTGTGTGTGTTTGTGTGTGTCGCTGTGTGGCTTTTGCACGCCTCTCTCGACGCTCTCTCGGCTCGTGTGCGCATATCCAATTGGCTTTAGTTTTAGTTGGCATCGAGCGTGCGAGGTGTGCGGACGCGTTTTAATTGTGTATATCGTATGTTTTTTTAGTGCCTGCAATTCGTTTACAGATATTGCCAAGATGAGTGTCATCATCTTTCTGGTTACGGTTCTAATTGGCTTTCTGATATATTCGTTATTGAACTCAATCAGACGACCCCGCAATTTTCCGCCAGGTGAGTGAGCGATAAAAAATAGTCAAATGGGAAACACTTTAAAAATTCGCACAACTGTCTGGATATCAGTATCAAATTTCTATATTTCAAATGAATGCTACAAACGGAAGTTCATTCATTCAATAAATTTAGTTGATTAACTGCTATAAAGGAAGTACTCCAATTTAGAGAACATGCCCAGTCAGCGAATAGAACTTGGCTTTCTATGGGATTGCATTTCACTCGATTGTATATCTAGATATAATTACCTGGCTTCAAATTTGTTTATCAATATCTGTTATACAAATCCATTTGTCTGTGCCATGGATACAGAGTGTGCCCACTGGCACTCGACCTGCCTCACGCTCCCTGTCCAGCTAGTCTAGAGTATTCGCATTGACCAACTGAAAATGGACAGCTGAACGACTATGGCCAGCCCACGGTGACCAGCTATGGAGGCGACGGCGACGGCGACGTCGACGGCGACACGCGTCTGGCATTTCAAATTGGCTTCATTGATAAAATTGTCACACAACTAGATGACTGACACCTCACCCCAACATTTTGAGTAGGTGTCTTGACATCAAACTGATTTACATATGAATTTTCCAAGCCTAAATCTTATGCAACAATACTGAATCGAGAAATAATTCATTATATTTGGATTGATTATTTAGTTGTATATTAATTGTGGGTACTTCTATGTATTATTCATTAATTATACTGAATTAATATCCCTATATAACATACTTATTATATATTTTAAAGACGACAAATTAAATATATATCAAGAGTTCTATGTTTGATAAGTTGTGAGCCACACTATAAAGATTGAGATTTGGCTGTCGATTTTGCTATTAAACTTTCGGTAGTGCCAAATAGTTCGAGCGATAAGATTAAATTAATAATCTTTCGTTAAACTATTGCTTTAGTGATTTTAATTGCCCCTTTTTTTGTGTAAAGCAAAAGGCAAAACTCTAAATATAAATATAGTTAGCATCTTTATCTCTATGAGAACACAAGATTGTAAATAAGATCCAAGGCACATTTATTTTTAACCCATCTAACTAACTTTACTTTTAGGTCCTGGCTTCTTGCCTTGGTTGGGTAACTCGTTGCAGTTCCGCAGAGAGGCACGTGCCGTTGGTGGTCAGCACATATTATTTGAGCAGTGGGCGAAGCGCTATCAAAGCCAGCTGCTCGGATTGAAGCTGGGAGAGGAGTATGTGGTGGTGGCGCTGGGCCACGAACTGGTGCGTGAGGTGCAGCTGCAGGAGGTATTTGAGGGTAGGCCGGACAACTTCTTTTTGCGACTGCGCACCATGGGCACACGCAAGGGCATCACGTGCACGGATGGACAACTTTGGTACGAGCATCGTAACTTTGCCATGAAACAAATGCGTCAGGTGGGCTACGGCCGCAGCCAAATGGAGCAGCAAATAGAGCACGAGGCGGAGGAGCTACTGCAGCAACTTAGTCGCACAGAAGCAGCGCCCATAGAGCCCGTCAATTGGTTGGCCCAGAGCGTGCTCAATGTGCTCTGGTGCCTGATTGCGGGCGAGAGAATAACCAGTAATGAAGATGGTACACTGCGCCGGCTGCTCGAGCTGATGAATAAACGATCCAAGTTATTCGACATATGCGGTGGACTGCTGGCTCAGTTTCCATGGCTGCGTCATGTGGCACCCGATCGCACGGGCTACAATCTTATCCGACAGCTGAATGCAGAGCTTTACAGCTTCTTCATGGAAACCATCGGAGAGCACAAGCGTCGCCTGGAAGAGTGCCAGGCGCGTGGAGAGCAGCTGCCCGAGAACGATCTCATCTTCGCCTATCTGCAGGAGATGCACAGCCAGCGACAGGACACCGATAGCTTCAACGAGACACAACTGGTGATGACAATACTGGACTTTTTTATTGCTGGCTCGCAGACTACCAGCAATACAATCAACTTGGCATTAATGGTGCTGGCCATGCGCAAGGATGTGCAGGAGCAGCTGCATGCTGAGGTGTCCGCCAATGTGCAGACTGTTGGCGCAGAGACGGATGCATTTCCTCATCTCAGTCGGCGTGAGTCCTTCCACTACATGGACGCCTTCATCATGGAGGTGCAACGCTTCTTTCACATAACTCCCATAACGGGCCCGCGTCGCGCACTCTGGCCTACCAAACTGGGCGGCTTCGATATACCCAAGAACACCACAATACTTATTAGCTTGCGGTCAGTGCACTTGGACGAGCAACATTGGAGCGAGCCACACGAGTTTCGGCCAGAACGTTTCATTGATGCCGCCGGAAAGTGCTGTAAGGACGAGTACTTTATGCCATTCGGTCTGGGACGGCGCCGCTGTCTTGGCGATGCGTTGGCGCGCGCCTGTATTTTTTCGTTTCTTGTGCGGATTGTGCAGCGCTTTAGCATTGTCCTACCAGAGGGTGAAACGCCATCGCTGATCCTGCAACCGGGCATCACACTAACGCCCAAACCGTACAAAGTGCGGTTCGTGAAACGCAGCTGAATTCGTCCAGCTGGAAAATGACATCAATCCATTAACATCATTTAAATTGAAATAAATGTTTTTAACGATTTTTAAAAACTGCATTAAAAAAATATTTGTTGAATATTTCTCCCCGTTATTTTTACTAACATCGTTTGATTCAAAGACATTGTCCAATCGAAGTAGCCGCTGAATTGTCTTATATCGCTATTATCGATAAGTCATTTGATATCTTATCGACCTGCCACCACAGCGTATCGATCAGAAATTTTTAAAATGTGTTCAAATGTTAGTGTTGCCAATGAATATAATTTGATTCACGATTTATTTGATGAACTCAGAACCGTTATGTTAATGCAATTATTAAATGCAATTAGAATTCTAGTTACGTTCCTTTGGATACACATTTTGTTCATCTATTGCATCGTACTTAAAATTAAATGCGAATTGCATGTTGGATAATTCATATTCAGCATTGCTGATGGCAAAATCTCGGCATCTATTAACAAGTTCCAATTCATATTCGAGATTAAATCTTTTAAAGCATGCTGTTAGAGCCAACTTATAATTCATATTTGACAACCAACTATCCTCTGGACCAGAAGGATCACCAGCAGCTTTGACTGGATTTTTATATATCCTTTTATCGTCAGCGCTCGCTTCCGTGTGACATAAGGAAGCGATTAGGTCCTTGAGCTTGGAAGCAAAAACATTTCCATTCCAATCCAATTGCAGCAAATTGCTTTGAGTATGCTTCGTCAACTAAAATAATTACATAATTATTCAAATTTTACAGCCATTTCATAGAGTCTTTTACCTTTTCTTCTATATCGGCCACTGCGCTCCTGCTGCACACAGACAACACAAATGGGGACTCCGGTCGGATGCTACTTTTACTTAGACAATACGATAAATTTATAAAAGGTTCTTCGAAAAGTTCTGTCTTGTATGGCAAACGCAAATATCCCAAATTCTTACAACTAACAATCATTTTTATTAGTGCATCGCTGTCGTCAACATTTTCTGAATAGGTTTCAAAAGAGAAAAACTGAAGATTTTCTAGTTTGGTAAGACATTGATACATATTGCTGGGCCACGACAAACATAAAAATGCCTTGAGGGATTTCAGCTTAAAAATTTCGGTCGTATGTGCATGATTTGAAGCCATGCTGATATCTAAAATTTCAAGTCGATCAGCATATCTTATGGATAAACTGTCGACCAATTCTTTTGTTTCAAAGATCGGTAAGCTCGATTCACCATTCATATCAAATCTTAGATATTTTAGATTTACAAAATCAGAAAGGTTCTTCAACTGCTGATTAATCGTCAGATAAGTTAGTTTCGGGCAATACGCATCCAGTTGAGATAACTGCTTGCACAAGGTGCTATCTATAAAGTAGACCGATAAAGTATGTAAGTCCCGCTTTGCTTTGAAGATTTCTAAGAAATCATCTGGACCCAGTGTATTATCAATATTGTAGAGATGAAGTATTTCCAGTTGGTTACAATTCTTCAACTGTTTTACTGAAAGTGTTCATAAATATAGTTCAATTATTCGTACTCTTTAATAATATTACTTTCAGACTTACATTTGCTTTCCGGCGCATAGTACAAAGTTAAGGATTTTAATTTTGATACATTTGACAAAGCGGCAACAATTTGATTATCACTAAAGGATTTGTACTCGTATATCACATTTTGTAAATTCTTCATTGAACCAAATATGTTAGAAAAATCGCTAACAGTCACATTTTCATCGAATCCAACTAATTTTAAAGTTGTCAATTGATTAAAGTCAGTCTTTAGAGCCAAAACTACAAAAAATAAATATAATAAACAGAACATTTTTGTATTAGCTTTAAAGCATGGGGAGTGTGAAATGCCGTTTATTTAGTCGGCTAACTGTAACTTTAACAGGTGCGCGGCGAAAACTGATAACGGCAAAAGTCTCTATACCAATCGAATAATGCTAAATATGATCGGTTTAAAACTTACTTTCGGATGCGGGGGTATCAAAGAGACTTAAACAGATTAGGTTTGGCAATTGTAACAGAGATCTCACAAATCCACCGTCAAAACAATCGCTACTTTCGCCAGAAAACAATAAACGAACATGCGTCAAATTTGGGCAATGTTTGCTCAACATTAAAATAAATAACTCAAAATGATTAACATTGGTTGTGAAATCAACGTATTCTTCATAGATCAAAACATCAGCGCCATTTGCTTTGAGAACAATTTGCCAATCTGTAAGAGTTTTGTGCATCCATCTGCTGATTATTTTGTAGCTTTTATTAACACTAAGCGACATGTTGAATATCAAATAATATACTGATTCATCCGTCGGCCAGAACACAATTAAAGTGTTATCGCAATTGTCGTCTACATGTACAATCGATATCGATATATGTCTGTCGATATTTTATAGTCGTATTCCATGCTATAAAATATATTCCTATAAAAAATATATCAATTTTTTAAAATCATTTGGGACTGAAACATATTGTACGTGCTTGTAAATGATTTTATTTTATTTAATTTTAAAGTTGTCAATTGATTAAAGTCAGTCTTTAGAGCCAAAACTACAAAAAATAAATATAATAAACAGAACATTTTTGTATTAGCTTCAAAGCATGGGGAGTGTGAAATGCCGTTTATTTAGTCGGCTAACTGTAACTTTAACAGGTGCGCGGCGAAAACTGATAACGGCAAAAGTCTCTATACCAATCGAATAATGCTAAATATGATCGGTTTAAAACTTACTTTCGGATGCGGGGGTATCAAAGAGACTTAAACAGATTAGGTTTGGCAATTGTAACAGAGATCTCACAAATCCACCGTCAAAACAATCGCTACTTTCGCCAGAAAACAATAAACGAACATGCGTCAAATTTGGGCAATGTTTGCTCAACATTAAAATAAATAACTCAAAATGATTAACATTGGTTGTGAAATCAACGTATTCTTCATAGATCAAAACATCAGCGCCATTTGCTTTGAGAACAATTTGCCAATCTGTAAGAGTTTTGTGCATCCATCTGCTGATTATTTTGTAGCTTTTATTAACACTAAGCGACATGTTGAATATCAAATAATATACTGATTCATCCGTCGGCCAGAACACAATTAAAGTGTTATCGCAATTGTCGTCTACATGTACAATCGATATCGATATATGTCTGTCGATATTTTATAGTCGTATTCCATGCTATAAAATATATTCCTATAAAAAATATATCAATTTTTTAAAATCATTTGGGACTGAAACATATTGTACGTGCTTGTAAATGATTTTATTTTATTTATTTCCTAATATAGTTTGTTTTACACATTTTGTTAGTATATAGCGAGTTAGTTGTTGGTTTTGTTTTCGAAACTCTTTAGAACGACGATCGCCGATTTCAAACAATGCAGAAATTAAATTTTTACACCAACTTCTAATATCAATGTGCATAGCAAAATATAGTACAACTGAGATTTTCTATTCGTCCTGGTCTGATTCTTGTTCTTTATTGAGTGACAATTTATATTAAATAAACATTTTATACTTTTAACTTAAGCGAATATAATGGTTTGCAACTTTTTTAACAAAATCAAAACTTTTCAAGTTATTCGTTATAAATTTAATGTAGATGTAGGCATACATACGTAAATATGTATAAATAACAACACCAAAGCCGGCTTCGAACTAAGTATGGAGATATATGCGTATGTGTGTACTTATATGCATAATGAAAATATTTACAGTCATAAGGAAAGCATCGCATATACATAAAATATAGGGATTTATTAATGTAGCTAGCTAAAAATCGATCTTGTATTCACATACATACATACACACATATGTATATTTTGCAACTTGCATACATCTGTGTCTGTAACGTATTTGGATTAAAATGCAGGAGTCGTGGTCCTGGACCATATGCACACATCGAATTTTCGGAACGCTTCCGCAAATAATAATAATGATAAAGAGTATGTAACAAAAGAAAACAAACAACGTAAAAAAACGTAAAACAAAGGTCGGGGCCGTCTGACTTAAATGCTAATGACTGCACACTGCGGTGTTGTCAGTGCCTGTCGTTGTACCCGTTCTACACACATTCCGATACTACTCTCTGAATGCGTCCAGAGATTACCATTTGCTTATGGTTATATTTTCTGTGTTTGCTGTTGTCATGCTAGAAATTGAATCCACTGTCGGGCAAATTGTGCGGATTAAACTCGTACTGTTGAGTGCCAGCAACGGGCGCAACACGCGTGTCCTCCTCCTCGTTGCCGAAGTATTGTTCAATGATGTAGAATGATTTATGATAAATGTCGCGATTCTCGTGTGCCTGGAGGTATTCAATTTTGTCGAGACCTGTTGAATGTTCAAAATCAAGTATTATTCTGAATATAACCATTTTCAGTTCATCTTACCGCCGCACTTTTCAATGGTCATTGCATATGGATTGGGGCGCACTTGATACTTTTCGCCTGCTTTCAGAATGTTCTCTAGGGCGTTCAAAGCTACCTGGACAATATCCGAATCGACTACGGTGAGAAAGTCGCACATGGGCGGTACGCAGCCAACCTGAACCAAATAATGTATCTGCTCAGAAGTGCCACTACTGGTTGCGTTTGTTATGGCCCAAGCAGCTTCTTTACGTGTTTTAAAGTCGGCCGTTTGCATTATCGTCATAAGCTGTGGGAAAATATTGGCATTTATAATCGCCTGAATTTGCTCGCGATTCCCAGCCGCAATATTTGATATGGTCCAGCAAGATTCCTTCTTAATAGTTTCGGCCGGTGAGCATAGCAAAAGGCTGATGCACGGCAAGGCATTATAGCTCAATATCACTTGGGTCTGCTGATCATCGCCGGTGACAATGTTGCCCACAGCGCGAAGTGCCGCCGTGCTCACATTCTGCTGAGGATGCCTAAAAATATGTAACAAGTTATCATATTATTGCAAACAACTATTATTTATCAGCACAACATACAGTAGCAGCTCGACAAGCCGCTGACAAACGCCCGCATCAATGACGGCCTGAATTTTGTCGTTGGGACCATCCGATAGATAACTAATGGCCCAGCATGTATCGCAGAGCACATCCACGTCAGTGTAGTCCAAAAGGCGCGCTAATATGGGTAGTCCGTGTACTATTTTGGAGAAATCGGCTGGCGGATTTTTGCCGCGGCATAAATTTGATAGCGTCCAAACAGCATTGCGTATCATGGTAATGCGGTCGGAAGTGCTCAGCACGCTGGAAAAGAATTAAGTTAATCGTAGAGCTGATCTTTATTGCATTACTTACTGCAATAGCGGCAACAGAATGCCAGAGCTAAGCAAATGATCGCGGCACGTGGGTGAATCGCCAGCTATGTTTCCCAGGGCCCAGACAGCCTGCTCCTGCACATCGTCATGGGGGCTGGACAGCAACTCTATGAATATGGGCACTGCGCCGGCCTCGATGACAATCTTTGTTTGGTGCGAGGTACCCGACGCAATGTTTGTCAGTGTCCAGGCTGCCTCAAACTGTAGCGTTGCATTTGTGTTATTGCGCAAGAATGTCACAAATTGAGGTACAATGTTTTTCTGTATAACCTCCTCGATTGGTGGATTAGGATCGCGGGACAGAAGCTTGCGAAACTTTTGCGTTGCCTCCAGCTGATCGCTTTCTTTATCGCTGTATAGCATCTGAATCATCTCTGCATTGATAATCGATTGCGGTACAAAGCCCTCTGGCTGACCAGCCCCATGTGATTGCATTCCTCCCCCGCCCATAACCATACCATGGCTGCTACTGTCTGCCATGTGCATGTCGCCGCTTTGCAGATGCAACTCGCCACTGCTGCTGCTATCGATGCCGGCACCTGGCGAGGTGGCCGGTGTTGGGTCAAGGACAACATTGCGGCGCTTCGAAAGCTGCTGTTCACGTTTAGTTTTACGCAATTGTATGCCAACCTCCTCGCGTCTGCGCCGCATCTCTGTTGAATTCAGAGCGGCATTTTTATAGCGCTGTTTGTGTGTGGCGGACATTTTATGTCTGTTGATATTAAGAGTGCTGCAAAAGACAGAAAATAATATATATAGATATTTTTTTTTTTAATTTTTATGCTTAACAGTTGACAATTTTAGTTTTAGTTCTGTTGAGTTCAGATTGCGCACACAGATTCCAAAACAAGTCGTAATCAGTGCCTACATTGATGAGGTGAATAATTTGTATTGAAAAACTTACGCACACATATGTATAAAGGTCAGCTGTGTTACGCGTGTTATGATACAATTCACACACACTAAATATTAATGATAGACATTAGATATAAAAAATATGCTTGGGACTCAACATGAATGTAAACTGATGACAATTAATTACCTAGTTTTGGGATCTTTCAAACGTATCTTTTAAGCTTTTATTTATATTTTATAGAGCATAGACAAGTCGACCACTCTTGCCTTTTGCTTTACAATAACCTTTTGGTACATGCACGAAGGGTAGTCAGCTTACGCACTTCCTTTTGGGAATTGAGCTTGCATTTGAATCATCGCGGTGAAACGGCGCTGGTAAATGCTAATTCTTAATATCATAAATGCACTTTATGAGTACTTTTATATTTGCACAGCGACAAACACTTTCACATTCTAATGGTAAATACATACAGACATGCATACAAGTGTAGGCGCGTTTGTGTGTATGTGTGATGGGCTTAGGTCAGCGTCAGCAAATGCTGCATACTATTGCTCTTTTTGCTATTGACTACTTGGGGTTTAAGACTTTTCATTTTTATTTCTAGTTATAGCACAATTTGTTATCACTTTACCTGTGTATCTGCCAATTTCAAGCGTCTATTTATAGTACAAAACACAAATGCAAATTTTAGTCACGATATTCCACACGTTTTTAGTTGGGCGTTAAGGTTGCCAGACTAATTTCACTGCACTCTACAGCTGATTGTGCAACTTGGTAAATTTCGATATCGATATCAACAGTTAAGGCATTACAATAAAAAAGCGCCAACAATGAATAATTCCAAAGAGCAAGAAAATTCCAATGACCAAATAATCAGTGAAGATGTTTTGCTAAAGCAAAAACAAAAACATATGAAACTTTTACACGAATATAACAATCTTAAAGATGCTACCCAAACTGTGCTAGGGGCCTTGGCGCAGGCGAAAGGATTACCGATTAGGGATATACATAAGATTTACAACCTACCAAGCGGTGAATGACAAGAACTTGGATTGTGTGAAGTGAAATGATTCGTTATTGTTTTATGTATTTATTTTCAAAATAAAGATCCAAATGCTTGTAAACAGCACGGGTTAGTAACAAATTACTAGGCAGTACCTGTCTGTTT